GTGAATTTTGTCTTTCTGCCTCCTGTCCCTAACATAGTGCTCTGAACATTGTTGTTACTAGGTGCTACCAAACCTGTTTCAACTCATAGCAGCCCTGTGTATAACAGAACAAAACACTGGCTGGTCTTGCATCATCCTCAAAATTGTTGTTATGTTAGAGGCCATTGTTGCAGCCACTGTGTTAGTCCCTCTCACCGAGGGTTTTCCTCTTTTTTGCTGACCCTCTATTTTATAAAGCATGATGTCATTTTCCAGGGACCACTCCCTCCTGATAACATATCCAAAGTATATGAGACAAAGTCTCATCATCCTTGCTTGTAAGGCGCATTCTGGCTGCACTTCCAAGATAGATTTGTTTGTTCTTCTGGCAGTCTGTAATATATTCAGTATTCTTTGCCAACATCATAATTCAAAGGCATCAGTTCTTCAGTCTTCTTTATTCATTGTGCAATTTTCACATGCACATGAAATGATTGAAAATACCATAGCTCAAGGTAGGTGCACATTAGTTTTCAGGGTGGAAAAAAAAAAAAAAAAACCACTGCCATCAAGTCAGTTCCATAGCAACCCTATTGGGTCTCCAAGGCTGTAAATCTTTATGGAAGAAGATTGTCCCATCTTCCTTCTGCAGAGTAGCTGGTGGGTTTGAACTGCTGACCTTCTGGTTAGCAGCCAAATGCCTTATGCACTACACCACCAGGTGGCATCTTTGTTTCTTAACACTTTAAAGTGGTCTTTTACTGCATATTTGCCCAGTGCAATAATGTCATTTGGTTTCTTGATCGTTGCTTCCATAAATGTTAATTGTGGATCCAAGTAAAATGAAATCCTTGACAACTTTTTTCTCCATTTATCATGATGCTGTTTATTGGTCCAGTTGTAATATGGATTTTTATTTTCTTTATGTTGAAGTGTGACCCATACTGAAGTGCTTCAAGCCTCTTCCCTTTCACCAAGCAAGGTTCTGTCATCTGCATATCACAGGTTGTTAATGAGTCTTCCTCCAGTTCTAATGCCGCTTTCTTCTTCATATAGTCCAACATCTAGGATTATTTGCTCAGCATTAAAAACAAAAACAACAACAAAAAAAAACTCACTGCCATTGAGTTGATCCTGACTCATAGCAAACCCTCTTTGGCTTTCCAAGGAGATATCTCTATGGAAGTAGATTGCCCAGTCTATCTATGGAAGTAGATTGCCCAGTCTTCCTTCTGAGGAGTGGCTGGTGGTTTTGAACCACCAGCCTTCTGGTTAGCCTTAGGCACTGTGCCACCAGATAAGTATGGTGAAAGGATACCTTGATACCCACCTTTTCTGATGGTGGTATCCCCTTGTACTGTTCAAACTGCCTCCTGGTCTCTGTACAGGTTCCTCATGAGCACAATTAAGTGGTCTGGAATTCTCATTCTTTGTAACATTAGCCATCATTTGTTATGATCTACACAGTCAGATGCCTTGACATAATAAAATACAGATCTGGTATTCTCTGCTTTCAGCTTAGATCCATCTCACAGGAGCAATGATAGCCCTCTTTCCATATCCTCTTAAGAATCCAGCTTGAATTTCTGGCAGTTCCCTGTTGCTGGACTGCTACAACCATTTTTTAATTAACTTTAGCAAAATTTTACTGGCTTATAGTATTAATGATATTATTCAGTCATATATACATTCCTAACATTGCTCTATATCCTGCTTTGGTGGGTAGCAACTGGGGTCTTTAAAGCTTGCCAGCGGCCATTTAGATGCAGTGAAGGGTTTCTCCAGAGCAAAGAAGAATGAAAAAAAACCAAGGATGCATAGAAACACTTAGTCCAAGGGACTAGTAGACAATACAGTCCTCAGCCTTTATGACCATGAGACCAGAAGAACTAGATGGTACCCGGCTACCACTGTCAACCACTCAGAGGGGAATTGGTGCAGGAGATCCTGGATAAGAGTGGGAGAACAATGTGGAAGACTCAGAATCATTAAAAAAAAAAAAAAAATCAGGTTGCTGGTCTGATGGAGCCTGGTGAGACACCTGAGACTATGGTTCCTTGTTACCTTTCAGGTCTGAAACTGAACTCTTCTGTGGCTTCCAGCCAAAAAATAGACAGGCATATGGGGTGAACATTTACATCAGGTAGATATACTCCTTGGTGCAATCAATCATGGGAGGACATAAGGGCAGTAGTTGCACAGGGAGATAGCTGGAGGGTTGGGGGCAGGGCTGCATGGGAGGGAAGGACACAGGGAGGGTGTGGGAAGAGAGCTGGGGAATTGGCAGTCAATGTCATGAAACTGTGTATGAAATGCTGTGTGGAAAATGAATTTGCTCTGTAAACTTTCACCCGAATCACAATAAAAATTAAAATATATGCATTCTGTTGAAACATATTTCTTTGAAATGGGCATGAGTATGGATCTCTTCTAGTCAATTGGCCAGATAGCTGTCTTCCAAATTTCTTGGTAGAGACAAGTGAGCACTTGGCAGTATTACATCCATTTGTTGAAAGATCTCAATGGGTATTCCCATTCTCAGTTCCTGGAGCCTTGTTTTTTACCAAATGCTTCAGTGCAGCTTGGACTTCTTCCTTCAGTACCATTGGTTCTTGATCATATCCTGTCTCCTAAAATGTCAACCAATTCTTTTGATATAGTGACTATGTATTCCTTCTACCCCCTTTTTTTTTTTTTTTTAATTTTTTTGTCTTCTCATACTACCCTTTGAAACTTTGTTAAGCTGTTTTACTTCATCATTTCTTCCATTTGCTTTAGCTACTTTTCTGTTCAAAAGCAAATTTCAGAGTCTCTTCTGACATCCATTTTGGTCTTTTCTTTCCTGTCTTTTTTATGACCTTTTACTTTCTTCCTCTATGATGTCCTTGATGTTATCCCACAGCTCATTTGGTCTTTAGTCATTGGTGTTCAGTGCATCAAATCTGTTCTTCAGATGGTCTCTAAATTCAGGTGGGATATACTCAAGGTCATACTTTGGCTCTTGAGGACTTGGTTTAATTTTCTTCAGCTTCAGCTTGAACTTGCATATGAGCAATTGATGGTATATTGCACAGTTATTCCCTGGCCTTGTTCTGACTGATGATATTCTCCATCATCTCTTTCCACAGATGTAATCTATTTGATTCCTGTGTATTCTGTCTGTCAAAGTCCACATGTATAGTTACAGTTTACATTGTTTAAAAAAAAAAAAAAAAGTGTTTTCAGTGAATAAGTCATTGGTCTTGTGAAATTCTATCATGCATTCTCCTGCATGATTTCTATCACCAATCCATATTTTCCAACCTCTCATCCTTATTTGTTTCCAGCTTTCATATTCCAATCTCCAGTAATTATCAATATATCTTGATTGGATGTTTGATCAATTTCAAACTGCAGAAATTGGTAAAAATAATAATAATAGTAATAATTTAATATCGTCATCTTTGGCATTAGTGGTTGGTGTGTAAATTTGAGTAACAGTCATGTTAACTGGTCATCTTTGTAGGCATATGGATACTATCCAATCACTCCAGTGTTGTATTTCAGGATAGATCTTGAATTGTTCTTTTTGATGATGAATGTGATCCATTCCTCTTTAATTTGTAGTTCCCGCCATAGTAGACCATGATTGTCCTATTTAAAATAGCCAGTACCAGTCTATTTCAGGTGAGTGTTCCACTGGTGTCCATAAGGTTTTCACTGGCCATTTTTTTCAGAAGTAGATTGCTAGGTTCCAGAAAACGTTTAAGAAAAAAATTAATGTATTTGTAGCACATCTTCCTCTGCTCATTAAGTGATGCCAGCCACCCAGAAGTTGTTGCTTTCCAAGACAAATCCAAGCAGCTCCTCAGAAGGTGGACAGAGTGCTGAGTGTGAGAGCAGGTCCTATGGGACTGCTGCTTCCTGCCACAAAATAGTAGTTCTTACATAAAATTATTTTCAACAGGGCAATGTGTTTATTCCCTTTTTATACTTGAGGTTTAACAAGGTCATTCAGCTTGTATATGGATTCCTATGCCAGTGCCCTTTCCACTCCCCTGTCCCAGAAGAGATATGCCTGCTTCCCAACTGATAGGCCTGGCTCTCTCTGCCAGGAGGTTGATACTCCCCTTCTCCTAGTTGTTGTTGTTGTTGTTATGTGCCGTCGAGTCAGCCCTGACTCATAGCGACCCCTCCTTGGGTTTCCGAGGCAGTATCACTACGGAAGTAGGATTGCCCAACCTTCCTTCCGAGGAGTGGCTGGTGGGTTTGAACCACCAGCCTTCTGGTTAGCAGTCAAGTGCCTTAGCCACTATGCTACCAGAGCTCCTAGTGGCTCCTTATTCCACCATCCATTGTTCCATAGCCCCACCTGGAGAACTTACTGTGTGCCAGGATCCCCTCACAGGCGATTTCCAGATTACCTGGTGAGTGCTGCCAATGAGAGGGCAGAGAACGGGGTGAGCACAGGTCAGGTTCCCCCAGGCAGTGAGAGGAATTTAATTGAGCGCCTCTGATGCCTGGCTTTGTGCTGGGCACTTTGAGAATGACTGGGTTAGGTGAGAGGAAAGCGCCTAACTCCCATTTTTAACCTCTGAAAAGAGACAAGGAGGTGAAATAACTACAGCACCTTGGGTGAAGTCTGTTGGGAGTGGCTGGGAGGGTCGGGGGTCCGCTGTGCATATGCCTGCAGCTTAACCTGAAGTTGGTGGGCTTCAGCCAAATGCCCTGAAGGGATGTCTAAGTGTGAGGCAGGCGTGTGGATGTGCAGGTCTCCTGTGCAGGGGTCGCAGCCCTCACGAACAGACGCTCCAAGGGTGGCTAGCTCCTGACAGAAAAACCGGCCAAGGGACTTGCAGAGCTCTGAGGGTCCTTGTGCGGGGAGGCGTGTGTGTGTGTGGGGGGGGGTGCTGGGCGGCGCTGTGGCTCAGACTCCACGCGGGGCAGGCTCCGCCCCAGGGGCGCGGGTTTAAAAGGCGGGAAGCTGTGCACCGAGACACTCAGACAAGCCGCTGGACCAGTTGAGTAGCCAGGGAACAGCCATGATCTGGCGGGCGGGGTGCGCTCGGCTGCTTGGTGGCTTCCTGCTTTTTACTCTGCTCGCCACCGGCGCCGCCCAGCTCAGCTGGGACCTCTCCGAGCCCCGCCACCGAGCCAGCAAGATCCGCGTGCACCCGCGGGGTAACCTCTGGGCTACCGGTAAGTTCTTGGGGACCTGGGCGAGCGCCCTACCTCACCTTGCTCTAACCCCATTGTCCTTAGCATCTCTCTGGCCTCTCCTCAGCCAAGACACTAATGTCAGTGCAGGGGGTTAACCTGGGGTTTATCTAATCCATTAGATGGGTAAGTGAGACCCAAACTGGTCAGTAACTTGTCTAAGTTTAAAGCGGAGCTGGCTGACTCTAGAACCTAGATCTGACTGCTAGTTGGTGCCCCTTCCCTAAGGCAAAGGCTCTCTGAATACTGAATCTTCTTCAAACCTCTATTTTGTCTTCTCTCTGCACCTCTACCTACCAGGCACCTCTTCATTCTCCATTTCCTTTCCTGCCCTTTCCCATCCCTCTTCCAAGCAGGCAGCATAGCTGGCAAGGTTTCTACCTGCTCCTCTGCCATCCCACCCTCCTTCCAGCTGTGCCATCCTCTCCACCTTTCTACCTTTTCAGGAAAAGCTCAGCTGTGCAGGCTTTACCACCACCAGGGGGTCTTTGTGGCTCCTTGGTGAGGAGGAGGAAGGCTGTCCATCTTCCTGCCATGAGAACTAAAACATGGGAGAGATTGGGAACTTGCCCATAGGGTGAGGTCCTGTTCCCTGACTTCCTTGTGCCTCGGCACTTCCTTTCCAGGTCACTTCATGGGCAAGAAGAGCCTGGAGCCCCTCAGCCCCCTCCCGGGGGCTGCTCCCCACATCTCCCTAAGGAACCAAAGACTGCAGCTGAGTCATGATCTACTCAGGATCCTTCTGTTAAAGAAAGCCCTGGGCATGAGCCTTGATGGCCCAGGACCCCACACCCAGGTGAGCCAGACCCTCACCATGTGCCCAGCCCTGAACCCAGGAGAGCCCCAGCCAGGAGCACCCCTGGATAGAGCATAGGATGACTTACCACTGAGCATTGGGTTAAGAACGTGACTGTCCTGGGCATGATGGTTGTGGACCCCAGAAAGCCAGGGTCCACTGCGACCCAGGGCTCAAAGGGGAAAGATTTCAAAGAAAGGCGTGTGACCTCCCCAGCAAACCCCATGTAGCAACTCCAATCCAATCTCCAGTCTGAAGTCACACCCTAGGATTATCTAGCATCTTGAGGCAAGACCTTCCTCCCCCAGTCTATATGATCTTGCCCTATACAAGCTGTCCCCGACTCCCTACGTTAGCCAAGTCCACTTTTGCTGTGCCTTCTTTGTGCTTATGGCCAGAGCTAGGACTCTTAGGGGAAGAAAAGAGTCAATTAGTGGTTAGTGGCCCAGACTGCTCCTTGGCAGTGCTCTTCCTATTCAGTTGTGCTGCCTCAGTGACTTTTGACAGGGTCCTCAACCTCAGCACTCTTGACATTCTGGGCTGGGGGGCGGGAGTGGCCTGTGCATTGTAGGATCTATGGTGTCTACCCACTAGATGCAGTAGCACCCTCCTTTCCCCTCATTCAAGACAACCAAGAATGTCTCCAGATACCACCAAATGTCTCCTGGTTGGATACATTCACTGTATGAGGGTCCCAAGGCTGGAGTCAGTCCAACCTTAGCCACTAGCCTGGCAGAGCGGCAGCCCATCTGTTTTCTGCTCCTGATGTTGTCCCCACCGACGACCTTCCTCCCTGGTACTTTATGTTTGCAGAAGGCAGTGTAGTATTGAAAGTGAGCTCTGGAGGCAGCGTGCTGGGCTCATAGCCCACTTCTGCAACTTACTAGCTATGTGATCTTAGAAACATCATTTAGCCTCTCTAAACCTCATCTTCCTCATCCATAGAGCAAGGATAATAATACTACCTACTTCCCATTAAATAGAGCTTTTATGTCGCTTGCTTAGCATGGTGCTTGGTACATAGCACTCAGTAAAAGGTAACTAAGTTCACTCCTACCAGTCTGTGTGCTCCCTAGCAACACCTGTTGCCGACTCTCCTTTATATCCTCCACTATGCCTAGCAAACAGTGCATGTATTTTGAAAGAATGGGCAGGGAGGACTTCCCTAGAGAAGACCAAGCCTACCCCCCATCCAACATCCCTGACCCTCCTGATGCACAAAACCTCCTGTCCCTGGGGACCTCAGATGTGAAGGTCATGTGTTGGCTGAGCCTGATCAGGAGATGATGGCGCTTGAAGGACTGAAACATGTAAACCTATTTGAGATTCTCAGAGGATGCAGTACCTAACCTTGGGGTGGAGAGCTTCAGAAATGAGATCAGGAGCAGAGCGAGAGGTAGGAAATGAGGGCCCAGAGACTGGGCCAATGCCAGGCACTATTGGACTTGTATGATCTACTTTGTTATGACCATCCTGTGAAGTTGGGGCTGTTGTTCTGAGAAAACCACTGCCCCATCCCTCTCAGACCCTGTGAGGAGAAAATTGGTGGGGGACCTGCTTCAGGTGAGAGCTTGCCCCTGCCCACCTCTGCAGATGCCTAGCACTTAGGAATGGCAGGATGTCTCTATCATTTGCCCCTCACCCCAGGTCAATTCTTCTGTGTGTTCCCTTTCAGTACAGGAGGCTGCTGGTGCACACACTGCAGGAGTGATGCAAATAATGGGGCAGACACGATGTGGTGGCTTAGATTGTGCTCACCAGGGAAGGTGCTTAATAGGACTCTGGTAATGGCCCTATCTGGATGTAGATCCTGGGATCAGATCTCTGTAACTCCATTACTGTGATTTCTGGTTGGAAGCACCAGGAATATTGCCAGTTAAGTCACAAATTATGTTCCTGCTATATTTCTTGCTTCTCTGTTGAAGTTGTGAATAAAACCCTGCTCTTTATATAGAATGTCTGGTTCTCTCTTTCCAACCAAATTTGAAGGAATGGGAGGGAAAGGGGACTGGAGGACTGGGTGCTCAGTGAAATGGACTGGCTCCCAAAAGCTGGGAATACTCCATGGCACTAGCCTAGCACTGACGCTGTATTCTTAACTCATTCACTCATTCAGGGAGCAGATCCTCAATATCTGTTGTATGCCAGGTCATGTGCCACGAGCTGGGTTCTACTCTGAGCTCTGCTACCTATTGACCTGTTTTTTCACTGGTAAAAGGGTGCTCCCTGCAGTATACTGTGAGTTTCACATACCTCATCTCATTTCATCCTCAACCGTTTTGCGAGGAGTGCCCAGGACATTAAGAAGAGATAACTGAGTTTGGAACCAGAGTGACTCTCCACTTACTCTGGCCGTGGTTGCCAGGTTTAGCAAATATTTGGAGTGTCTTATCCTAAACAATTATACATTATTTGAAATTCGAATTTATCTGGCAACCTTCAACTTGGGATTTCCCCTCTGTGAGCTGAAGATGATGTTGTTACATGCCATCAAGTCCGACCAACTCGTAGCGACCCCTCCTTGCGTTTCTGTTCTGGTTACCTAGTGCGCTCTGAGAAGAAATATACCACAAATGGGACGGCCTTAACAGGAGTTTATTGTTACAATTTGGAGGCTTTAAGTCCAACTGAATTACCACAGTTTCTGAGGCAGTATCACTATGGAAATAGCTTGCCCATCTTCCTTCCCAGGATTGGCTGGTAGGTTTGAACCGCCAGCCTTCTGGTTAGTAGTCAAGTGCCTTAGGCACTATGCTATCAGATACTTGGTCTTAAAAGGGGCGGGTAGATGGTACCTCGGACCCCGCCCTGAGCTGACATCCTGGGAATCTTTGATTCTATGTCATCTTTTCCCAGAGCCGGGGACCTTGCCTGACAAAGGCGCAGAGCCCTTGTGGCCTTCTAGAGCCTCAGCACCCCGCCCCCTGACGAGAGGGCACGCCCACCGGCTTCTAGCTGGCCGCGCCCTCTCCTCGCGAGAGGTCCGCTCCTCCGAGGAACATTCAGAAGTGGAAGTGGGAGCCCGGAGGCGGCAGTTGCTATGGAGGCCAGCGAGAACTGGCTCGTGGAATCCTTGCGCTTGTAAATCTTGTGGAACTGGGAGGCGGGGTCCGGATCCGGAGATGGTCTGGAGGGAGAATGGGCGTGGGGCGGAGGCACGTAGGAACAACTGGTGTGGGTCGAGCCAGCGGTGGCGATGAGGTGGACCAATGCGGAGGATTCAGCGTAGGCTTCACCTTCAAACCAAACCAAACTCACTGCCATCCAGTCGATTCTGACTCACAGCGAGTCCTTTGGACCCAGAGATTGCCCAGTCTGCCTTCCGCGGAGTGGCTGATGGGTTTGAACCACCAACCGTCTGTTTAGCAGTCATATGCCTTAGGCACTAAGCCACCAGATCTCCTTCACCTCTGGCATCTGGAAAATGGGATTTTCGTGTGTGCTCAAGTTGTATGAGGAAATAGTAAAAACAGCGTTTGTGAATGATAAAAATAATATGAGTGACCAGTTATTTTGCTTGGGCCTCTGACTTAACCCCTGAGCATAGGTTATCTCATTGGGAAGTCCGGGTCCTCTTTTTAAAAAGAGTACCATTTTACATATGAAGACAGAGTCTTAGGACATTAAGTGACTGGCCTGGTCCCAGTCACACAGTAATGCAAAACCGGATTTGGTGGTCCCAGGTCTACTTGACTCTGGAGCCTACCACCCTGACTACCAACTAATGCTGCCTTCTCCGAGTTCTTTGACAGTAAAGTGACATACACTGTGGTTTTTGTCCCTGTCATGCAGGTACCAGGATTTTCATGCATTCGACCTCTCAGGAGCCACTCGAGTCCTTGAGTGGATTGGTGACAAAGGTAATGTGCTTTTCCTGGCCCTAAAGTAGATGGAATCCCACTTCTCAGGTTAGGATTTGGGGGTTTAGCCTGGAAGAACCAACCCACTCTTCTGAGAGCCTGAGGACTTCTTGGTCACTTCTTACAATTTTGTGCCCCATCAGCCTTTGTATTCCTCCTTAGGATCTCTTCCATCCCCAAACCCAAGGCTGCATTCTGATGGGGAAGAAATTTATCCTTGCTTTAGGAGCTCTGGTAGCACAGTGCCTAATGCATCTGACTACTAACCAGAAGGTTGGTGGTTCAAACCTGCCAGCCACTCTACAGAAGCAAGACTGGGCAATCTACTTCTATAAAGATTTACCACCTCAGAAACCCAATGGGGGTCGCTATGAGTTGGAATTGACTCGATGGCAGTGGCTTTTTGGTTTTAGGGCATTTAGCAGGAGTTTCAAGACCTAGCCATGGTCCAGAATCTTTCTAGCAGTCTGTCTCAGTTACTTCTGCTTTTATCTCCAGGAGTCTTTGTTGCTGGCTATGAAAGCCTGAAAAAGAATGAGATTCTTCATCTGATACTGCCTCTCAGACTTTCTGTAAAGGAGAACCAGGTAACTTAAATATAAACATTAAATGTTTGTGGAGCTCCTGTTATCATCTGGGAATTGTTCTGGATATTAGGAGAGAGGAACACAGGGACTGCCCTCATAGTGTGAGGGAGAGAAATACATGAGAGAATTGTTACAGAATGTTGCTTCGTTTACAGAGGATTACTGGAGAAAGAGGTTAATCTTTATCAAAAATAGATTAGGCAAATGGAAATAAATAGATTTAGGAAGCCATTAGGATATAGAGGGTGGTTGAAGTCCTTAGAATGGTTCAGATTACTAGGATGAATATGTAGCATATAAGGATTAAGAAGAGAAGACGGCTAAAGAGAGAACCTCAGGGAACATATTTAAGGGATGAACCCCTTAGGAATACTGTGAAGGGCCAGTCTCTGAAGAAGTAGGAGTCTCAGGAAAGGACAGTGTTTTGGAAGCAACGAGAAGAGAACATGTCAAGAAGAAAAGAGTGGGTAGCTGTCTAGTGTTGTTATTAAATCACTTAGATTAGGATTGAAGAGTTCATCCATTAGACTTGGAAGCCTCTGTTGACCTTTGCCAGAGCATTTTTGCTCATGTGTTCAAGGTAAAAGACTGAAAAGGGGGAAGAAATGGAGTCAGAAAATGAAGGGAGGGAAGAAGCTAGAACAGTAACTAGGTAGGAAACATAGATTTGAGAGAGGGTTTCCTAAAGATAGAGAGGCTTGAATAGAGTTGGAAGCTGTGGAGAAGTAGTCCCTGAGGAGAGTTGGGTGAAAATGCAGAAATGATACAGGGAACATGATCCATTAGTTGGCTAATATCCCAGGTTTCTTTGATGAAATTCTTAAGACTCTGCAACTCCTTTAAAAAGGCCTGGAGTATAAGATTTATATTATAGTAAAAGGAGCTAGTTAAATATTAGAAGGATTTTGGATGTGTGGATTGCAAATGAGATCATCATTTACAAATAGCTGTACCTCAGGGCCCTACAGGGTGAAGCATCTATTGCCAGCTGAGTAGCTTCCATGGCCTCCATACCTAGAGCTCATCTGAAATATTCCTTTGAACAGATGCAATCTGATTGGCCAGTCCTTTATATTTTAGGGCTTAATCCCGGACAGAGATTTCAAGGTGTGCCATGGAGGATTTTCAGACAAACCTGTCTTTGATCTAAAGCATGTACCAGAGACCAGGTATGATTCAGCTCTTTATCCCAGACCTTGCATTTAGGAAGGGGTGGCTAGAAATGTTCAGGGTCTCCTGCCTTTTTATCACCAGTACCCTGCACACAGGGCACATGTGAGCACTCAACATGAATACACACACAGCTTTTTAGAATACAAAGAAATTATTCCTGTCTATCACAGCCCTTCTGATTGGAGTTGCTCCAGGGAATAGATATAGGCTAAAAAGATGCGCATAATTTCTCAGAGAGCTGATAGTAGGTAGTTGATGATATCTCTGTTGAAAGACGCTGAGAGTCTCAGGGTCAGAGTTTTGAGTTCATACCCTACACTGCCTTCTCTAAGTGAGCATCATGACACCTGTTGGCCTGTGCTCAGTCCCAGTTCTACTATGGACTCTCCTTGAGCTGTGGGCCTGTCCCTGAAGCCTGCCCCATAAAGGTACATGATTCCTTCTAGCAGTAAGATTTCCTGATGTAGAGGAATGTAGGAATACTAAGCTGAGTGAGCTGGAGAAGGGAAAGCGGAGGAAGTGGTGAGCTCTCCACAGTCTGGACTAAGATTCCCTATCCATCCCGAATAGGTTGCTGGTGACCAGTGGCCTTCCATGTTGTTCTCTGAAGGTGTGGCAGATCACAGAGGACAGTGGTGAGCGAATTTGGCTTGTGGGGGTTGGGGGTTCTAGGAAAGCCTGATTATTCACACATCCCCACACACTCAGTCAGAGCCAGTTAAGAGGTATACTCAAGCCACATGGGTATTAAAACATAGTATCTAATTAACAAAAATAGCATGGCACACAAGACCTATAACTTACTCCAGGAATTGAGCTTAGGGACCCAGTCACAGTCAGAGCATCTGGAGAACTACAGCCCTCTCTCCCAGGCAGAAGTAAGGCCAGGCTGAGGGCTGCTCAGATGGGCTCACCTCATGGAGGAAATGTCAGAGAGGAGGTGACCTCTCTTTGCCAGCATGCTAGTCCCAGAGAAGGAAAGTGGTGAGTAGGAGGCAGGGCTGAGCAATATCCTACAGCAAAAAGTCACTCTATTCCAATAAGGGAATGGAGAAAGGAGCAGAAAGTCTTGATCTTGTTCCCTCTGGGAGTGGAGAGAAAGTCCCCTCATGGAAAACAACATTCCCTCCAGCAGTGGGTTTATGTTCCACTTGTCAGACAGGTACCAGAGCATGCAGCCCCTGGCCTGATCCAGCCCATAACTTCCTCCTCCAGGTAGAGTGTTGTTGGCCAGCATGGAAGTGTGCCTCTGAGGCACAGGCAGCCACTTTTGGACCTGCTTCTTTGGTTGTGTGACCCTCTGTCACTGGTCTCCATTCTACCTCACTTGGAAGCTTCCCACAGACTGGCCAGCACGCATTGGCATCTTCCCAGGCATCTAGTGCTGCAGAAAAGCAGTCCTTGTGCTCATTTGCTTTTTGAGGTCACTGACTCTGCGGGCATTTGTTTGTTGTTTCCCTCCTCGTCAGTTGTCTTATGCTGTTGCTTCAGTTGGTTGCATCACTTACTTGTAGTTGTGATTGTTTTTGTTTTTAGAATATTATTGACATGTTGTTGTTGTTATTTTGCCGTCGAGTCGGCCCCGACTCATAGCGACCCCTCCTTGGGTTTCCGAGGCAGTATCACTACGGAAGTAGGATTGCCCAACCTTCCTTCCGAGGAGTGGCTGGTGGGTTTGAACCGCCAGCCTTCTGGTTAGCAGTCAAGTGCCTTAGCCACTATTGCTACTAGAGCTCCCAAGAAATCAATGACACATTGCATCGGGCAAGTTTGCTGCAAGACCTCTTTGTTGTTGTTATGTGCGGTCCAGTCGGTCCAACTCTTAGTGACCCCTCCTCCTTGGGTTTCCGAGGCGGTATCACTACAGAAGTAGGATTGCCCAACCTTCCTTCCGAGGAGTGGCTGGTTTTACATATCTTACAATTCACCCATTTCAAGTGTACAGTTCAGTGATTTTTTTTTGTAATTTAAGTTTGTGCAGCCATCACTATAAATCAGTTTCAGAGCATTTTCATGCCCCAATCAGATTCATCATGCCCATTTGTTATTAACCCCCATTCCTACCTCCTGCCTCAGGCAAACACTATTCTTATCTCTATAGATTTTCTAGCCATTTTATAGAAATGAAATCATAAAATATGTAGTCTCTTGTGTCTAGGGTCTATTACTTAGCATGTTTTTGAGTTCCATCCTTGACCTAGCATTTATCAGTAGTTTGTTACTTTTTATTGCTGAGTAATTTTCCATTATATGATTATACCACATTTTGTCTATCCACTTATTAGTTGATGGATCCAATTTTTTACTACAATGAGTGAAGCTGCTAAGAGCATTCATGTATAAATCTTTTTGTAGACATATGCCTTCATTTCCCTTGGATAGAGCCAATGAGTGGAATTTCTGAGTTATACGGATAATTTGTTTGATTTTTTTTAACAAACTGCTTTCCAGAATTGGCTGCACCATTTTATATTCCCCACCAGCAATGTATGAGGGTTCCCATTTCTCCACCTACTCAAAAAAATTTGTTATTGTGTGTACTTTTTATGAAGGCCATTCTAACGTATGTGAAATTGTACCTTATTGTGGCTTTAATTTGCATTTCCCTAATGACTAATGATGTTGAGTATCTTTTCATGTGCTTATTAGCCATTTGTACATTGTCTTTGGCTAAATGTCTATTCAGATCTTTTGCCCATTTTTTGATTGAGTTGTTCCTTATTATTGAGTTCTTTGCAAGAATTCTTTGTATATTCTGGATACAAATTATTTGATAAGTGTTTTGCTAATTCTTTCTTCCAGTCTCTTGCTTGTCTTTTTATTTTCTGAATGATGTCCTTTCAAGTATCAAAGTTTTACGTTTTGATGTGGTCCAATTTATCTTTTCTTTTTTTCCCACATTCTTTTGGTGTCATATTTAAGAAATTTTATCTTACCATAAATTAGATGTTTTTTCCAAAAGTTTTATTGTTTTAGGTCTTAAATTTAAGTCTATGATCCATTTTAAGTTAATTTGTTATGGTGTGAGGTAAGGGTCTAAGTTAATCTTTTCATATATGGATATCCACTCGACCCGGCACCATTTATTGAAAATGCTATCTTTCCCCCATTGAATTGCCTTGGTGCCTTTGTTAAACATCGACTAAAAGGATTTATTTCTGGACTCTCAGTTCTGTTCCATTGATCTATATGTCTTTATGCCAGTAACACATGGTTGTTTCTTTATTTTCACCTAAAAATAGGCTAGGTGGGGTAGCAGTGATTTAAATGTGAAAAGAAGAAGAGTTTTTCTAACTATTTGAAGTCCATTTGGAAGTACCTTTGGTCCTGAGCCAAATAATGAATGAAATACTTCTCCCCTCTCATCTCAACATATTTTACCCAGCTGGCAAGGTATCATACAGAATCTGTAGCCCAGGCTTAGGGGAGTGAATGGCCCAAATGAGCTAAAGAGTCACCTGTCTCTAGATATTAGTGCAGAATATTCCAGAACCTGAGGAAGGCTGGCCAGCTATTTTCCTAGAAACCTAAAAGCATAACATCTTTGCAAATTTTCCAGGGTTCAGAATTTGACCCATCAACTTGGTGTCTCAGAACCCTAATTTTGTCAGCATATCTAGAACAAATCTAATCTGTCTGTAGGGGGCAGGCACTCTGACTGGACTCACAGAACTTCTCTATAAGCCAAAATGCAATTTTATAAATTTATAATGAAAAAAGAAATATCATTAAAAATGGAATATTTCAGGTTCTTATGATCAGCTTATTCTTTGGTTCCAGAAGGCCTAGTCTAATCAAAGGCTGCATGGTGAACATAACCAGAATAAGAGGAATCAGCTTAGAGGTTTCCACATTGCTTTTTTATGAGACATTTTAAGCAGAAACTATAAAACTTCTGAAGCATTGTTGCCCAAGTTCTAGGTGTTGTCCAAGCCCTGGGAGTGGTGCATGGGACATCTTTCCTCAGCTTTGGGGTTTTGGAAGCCACTGAGTTGGATTAATATGGTATCTAAAGGTCTCAGTTGAGTGTCTCCTGCTGCTTCCTCTTTGAATTTAAATATTCAGTCTATTGGTGTGGCTCCCTCTCACCTGGACAGGCCCCAATGTTTTCGTTGCTTCCATGACTAAACATCCTCCCTCTATAGACACAACTTTTCTCTAGACATGTTAATACATTTGCTCAGGATTGCAGGTCTGGGAGCCTTAAGTTACCTGGCTCCTTAAGGTACCTTTGCCTGTCGCTGCTCTGACCTATGTGGTGTTGGTTTGACTTTCAGAGACGTTCTTTCCCTTATTTCCACGTTCTTGGAGAGTGAACTACATCTTTTCGTTTTTTAGGCCTTTTTGCAGTTTGAGGCTGGTTTGGAAAATCTGGTGTGGATTTCCTATGAAAGGGCATACTGCCACTGAGTTTAGCAAGAAGGAGAAGAAAACCTGTTTTTCTTTCCTATTTTGATTGTAGAGGAACTCTCTGAATCAAAAGGGCATGTAAAGCCCACCAATCTGAGGAAGAGGCTTTTGGTTGACTCCCCTTCCCTCCACTAGGGACAAATCTCATACTGAGAACCAAACTTTGGCTCAGAACAGTAGGTCCTGGGGGATGTGTTCCAGGCTTCCCAGAGTGTGGAAAAGGAAGAGGGAGCCTCTTAAGTGTGGTCCAAGAGAGTCAGGCAAGCACTGTGGGGTTGAATGGATTGCAGCTTCACTGGCTCCTAAAAAACAAACTCTGGTCTTGAGGGTATACTGTTGTGTCTGCTCCAAACCTTTGCAGCCCCTCAAGTTCCTCATGGTAAGACACTTTATTTCACAGTCAGGATGAAGTATGTCTGATTTCCTAGCCTGTAGGCTTCATTGTTCAAGGATCTTCTACATTATTTAGCCCATCCTAGACACGCCCCTCTGTGCTCTCCTTGCACATGCAGTATCTTGAGGGACTTCCACCATGCCCTTGCTTGATACACCATTGTAATGTTCCTTCTCTCATCTACGGCCTTTCTCATTCTTTTACCTATCTCTTTGAATTTAAAAAAATGCATAGATTCCATTTTCTTCAGAGCATGTGGAAACCAAATAATAAGTTTGCTCCCTGTTGGAGCAAAGAAAATATGAACTGGAAAATATAAGTGTCTCTGAAAGTAGTTTCTACTGCAAATTGCTCATTCTGAATTGTGTTATAAATGCTTTCTGTTAAGAGAATCCTCAAAATCTAGAACACAGAGATGCTAACCTGCCTGCTAACTAAGCAGACTGAGACAAACAAAATTAAAATTTTTTTACCTTGTGACCAGGTATATTTTTCTTCCATTCAGTATAAAAAAGATGGGGACTTTCTTGTCTGGTTTACATTTTAAGAAAATGACTTTTGCATTATAACCTTTACCTGCTAGGTTTCAGCAAATGGCTTGGGGTCATGACACATATTTCTGAAGAAATAATATTGCCCTATAAGGCACCTACTAACAAACAACAACATAGGGTTTCCAAAGGAGCTCTGGTGGCACTGTGGTTAAGACATTGGGCTGCTAACCAAAAGGTCGGCAGTTTGAACCCACCAGCTGCTGCATAGGGAAAAGATGAGGCAGTCTGCTTCCATAAAGATCTATAGCCTTAGAAACCCTATAGGGGTCACTATGAGTTGGAATTTACTTGATGGCAGTGGGTTTGGTTTTGTTTTATAGGGTTTCCAAGGCTGTAAATCTTTACAGAAGCAGACTGCTAGATCTTTCTCCTGCAGAGTGGCTGGTGGGTTCAAACAGACCAACTTTCAGTTAGCAGCCAAGCACTTAACCACTGTGCCACCAGGGCTCCTTCATGAACTATGTACCTGTTGTTTTTCACTTAAGGTGTAAATGACATCACCAATGTGTTCTTTTCCTTTATTTGTTCTCCACAAAACTATAAAAAGCTAGAACTGCTTTTAGGATTTTGAGATGACTGCTCTGATTCATTATTTGCCATTTGCAAAACAGTTAACAATTCAAATTATAAATAAAGTGCTTCTAACAGTTTCAAAATGTAAACATAACCCAAAGTGTTTATGTCTCAACATCCTCTCTTGCCACTTGTCAGCTCCCTTTTTTCCTTGACCTTCTAAATGTAAGGCTGAAGATGGCTGGCCAGCCTATGTCATGTAATGTTTCTAATTTTCATTAATATTCTGGATTTTAGCAGCTTCTTCTTTCTCCCCCAGATGTCATTAAAGCTGTCAGTACTCTTGCTGTGCCTGAGGAGGGGAATCTCTGGCCAAGGCTAGCTGTCTTCTCCTCGATGGCCCCTGGAGTCCTCCACGGGGCAAGGCTCAGCACTCTGAGAATTACAGACTTGGAATCCCAGAAGACTGCGTACACCTCAGGTCCTACAGCTGTACACCCCTCGCTGGCTCCACCAGCCAGCATCTGCCTCCCAGACCAACTCAGCCACATTCTATACCTAGTTTAGTCCTTTGTGCCGAATGCTGGGGAACAAGATGAATAAGAAGCAAGCCCTGTTTATGCACAGGGAGACAGTTCAGGGGGCAGGAGTGATGGAGGGATGGACACAGGGAAGAGGTAACTATGGGGAGGAAGTGGGAGGGGAGGTGTTCCACTGGGGTAAATTGTCAATGTCATGAGACAACGTCTGTGTGAACTGCTATATGGAAAGTGAATTTGCTCTGTAAACTTTCACCCAAATCACAGAAAAAAAAAAAAAAAAAAAGAAGCAAGCCCTAGCCTCAATGGCTCCCATTCTGGGGTGGAGGGAGGCTGTCCCATGGACTGGCATCCACCCAGCTGGGTAGAATATGTTGAGATCTGAGGGGAGAAGTATTTCATTCAGACTGGGACTGTGTGGAAAGCTTCAAAGAGAAAAAGATTGGTCATCCCTGCCAAGTTTCCAGTCCCATCTGTCTCCAGCATCTTTTCTCCTTTGCACTTCTGTCTTCTAGGTATTGGTGACAGCGAGGTGCTAAGTAGCCTGCAGGTTCTGGGTACAGACACCTTTGCCTTCTGCTGCACCTCTGGCCGGCTAGGTCTTGTTGACATTCGCCAGAAGTGGACACCATCTGAGAACATCAGCCCCAGCCCTGGGTCTGGTGGAGGGAGGTGGTGTGCAGACATTCGGAACGGGGGCCAGGGCCTTGGGCCCAGCATTGCCAGCTTTTGTTCAAATGGGCAGCTCTGTCTGCTTGATCCCCGGGATCTCTGCCACCCTGTGAGCTCAGTCCAGTGCCCAGTGTCCATGCCTAGCCCTGACCCAGAGCTGCTGCGAGTGACTTGGGCCCCGGTCCTGGACAACTGCTTAGCCATCTCAGGTACTGTTAAGCAGACTTTGCCTGTTACTTGATTTCTCTCTTCTAGGGTGTACAGGGTATTCAGGAAGAAATCCTTAGGTTACGATGGAACAGTGCAGGTCTGTGATGTCACATCTTGGGGTGGAATGGGCAGCCAAGTAGAACCTTCACTCGCAGAAGTCACATGTTCCTAGGGGCAAATCTGGCCCAGAAGTTAAAAGTTAGCCACAGAGAAGCTCCAGATAATCTTCCAGGTTCTTCAGTGGCAAGCCCTTACCCGGCCCAACCCGCACTCTTACACATATTTACAGCAGGGCTTTCCTACCCCAGCAGGAGTTTAGTTCAAAGGTTAGTCAAGACTTTGGTTAGGAGGCCCACGGATAGAACTGTACCAGCAAAACGGTGGCAAGACCTCAAGGTGCTTCTCAGCCACTTTTTTCTTATATTGTAGCAAGCTAGCCCCTGGTTTGGTTTGGTGGTCTTCAATTGAATGAGAGTTTTTAATGAGGGTATTTAAAAGCAGCAGAAAAGATCTGTTGAGAGAGAGGAGTTGGAAGAATAGTTGAGAGAGTAAGAAAAGATAATTGGTACTGAAGGATCCAGAAAGGGCTAAATAACCAGAGCTCAGGTGGAGGGGTTAGATCTTTGTAACAGGAAAGACAGCAGGTCAGGTCAGTGGGAAAAATGAGTGTGCTGCTCTCTAAATGCTTCTATTTCCCCCATGAGAAGACAAGGCCATTTGGAGGGAGGGACCAGGGAGGTATGGGAGATTAGAATTTGGGGCAAGTGGATAAAGTCTGAAAATGCCTCTTAAGCCTCAGTTTCCTGGGAGAAGTAATAGTATGTACCTACTTCATACAGAGGAACCCTGGTGGCACAGTAGTTAAGCACTCAGCTGCTAACAAAAAGATTGGTGGTTTGAACCCATCAGCCTCTACAGTAGAAAGATGTGGGTTAAGATTTACAGCCTTGGAAATCCTGTGGGGTAGTTCTCTATTCTATGAATTGGAATTCAACTTGATGGCAGTTGGATTTTAGTTTATTTCATACAGTTGTGAGGATTACAAGAAACCATACGTGTCCAGGATTAGTCTCAGGCCTTGACATGCAATAGATGTACAGCAGGTGTTCCTGTTATCCTATAATGTTGTCATGTACCCAGTGGTATCATAAGTTGTCAACATTGAGGGCAGATGTTCCATGCCCTTTGGATACCTTTGAGGTATCTTTCTGTTTGATGCCTCATCTTATAGCCTGTTTTGTTACCATAGAGAATATTATAAAGAATTCCATCTCAATCTTCTCTTTTCTGTGTTCTTCCTCAGGTTTTGATGGAACAGTCCAGGTCTATGATGTCACGTGTTGGAGTGGAGTGGGAAGCCAAGTAGAACCTCTCTTTACTCACAGAGGTCACATCTTCCTAGATGCAAATGAGCTAGACACTACTCCACTAGTCACCACCCACATCTGGCACCCCTGCAAACCAAGGACTTTGTTATCAGCTGCAAATGATGCCTCTCTGCATGTGTGGGACTGGGTGGACCTTCATGCCTCCTCCTAACACCATCATCTTTGCCTAGGCCCCTAGGAAGAGGAAGAGCTGCTATATAGTAGCAAGAGTACCAGTTTAGGACTCAGGGACCAGATGTCCCTGTTACAAGCTGTGTGGTCTTGGGCAGGTCACCCAGCCTCTCTCAGCCCCAGTTTCCTTACATATAAAATGGGAATAGTAATAAATACCTTGCAGGTTGTTGGGAGGGTAAGCAATACCTGGCAGAAAGTTAGATGTTCAGTTACAGGTTACTTAATTCCCAGTTGCAGGAATATTGAAACTTAAAAATCATTGTCTACCTGGTTAGCCCTTGAGTAACTAAACAATGTTATCTTCAAGAACGTATCTTATTTGTAGCAATATGTTCAGTACTGGTTGGTTTTGCTCAAAAGGATTTATTTCACTTATTTTTATGAATTTTATGAGACGTGTATGTTAAAAGCATGTTGTATTATATATAGATTCATTATTTAACATCTATAAATAATCATTGTAAGACTCATACAATTGAAGAAATAGTTTTCTTAAACATAATGTGTAGTAAGATTCCCCACACTAACTCACCCAGTGCATATCTAAGCACAGAGAACATTGGTGTACAATTATCTGTTTGAGTCCCTGTTCTCAAGCCTTTGGAGTATATACCTAGGAGTGGAATTGCTGGGTCCTATGAGCTCTGGTAGCATAGTGGGTAAGACACTTGACTGCTAACCAGAAGGCTGGCGGTTCAAACCCACCAGCCACTCCTCGGAAGGAAGGTTGGGCAATCCTACTTCCGTAGTGATACTGCCTTGGAAACCCAAGGAGGGGTCGCTATGAGTCAGGGCTGACTCGACGGCACATAACAACAACAACAACAATGGTAATTTAAAAGAAGATGGAAGGAATACACGGAGTCACTGTACCAAAAAGAATTGGTCGATGTTTATCCATTTTAGGAGGTGGCATATGATCAAGAACCAATGGTATTGAAGGAAGAAGTCAAAACTGCACTGAAGGATTTGGCAAAAAAACAAGGCTCCAGGAATTGACCAAATACCCATTGAGATATTTCAACAAATGCAGCATTGGAGGCACTCACTCAGCTATGCCAAGAGATTTGAAAGACAGCTACCTGGCCATCTACTCGACTAGAAGAGATCCATATTTGTACCCATTACAGAGAGAGGTGATCCCACAGAATGTGAAAATTACCAAACAATATCATTAATATCACATACAAATAAAATCTTACTGAAGATAATTCAAAAACAGTTGCAGCAGTATATTGACAGAACTTCCAGAAATAAAAGCTGGATTGAGAAGAGGACATGGAATGAGGGATATCATTGCTGATACCAGATGGATCTTGGCTAAAAGCAAAGAATACCAGAAAGATGTTTACTTGTGTTTTATTGACTATGCAAAAACATTCGATTGTGTGGATCATAACA